GATAGATAGATTCATTGAATTAAAAGATTCGGATAGATAGATAGATTCATTGAATTAAAAGATTCGGATAGATAGATAGATAGATTCATTGATTAATAGATAGATTCATTGAGATAGATAGATAGATTCATTGAATTAAATAGATCGATAGATAGATTCATTGATTAAAAGATCATTGAATTAAAATAGATTCGATAGATAGATTCATTGAATTAAAAGATTCGGATAGATAGATAGATTCATTGAATTAAAAGACTCGGATAGAGAGATAGATTCATTGAATTAAGACTCGGATAGATAGATTCATTGAATTAAGACTCGGATAGATAGATTCATTGAAATAAAAGACTCGGATAGATAGATAGATTCATTGAATTAAAGACTCGGATATAGATAGATATTGAATTAAAAACTCGGATAGATAGATTCATTGAATTAAAAGACTCCGGATGATAGATAGATTCATTGAATTAAAAGATCAGATAGATGAATAGAAAAAGAATTAAAAGACTCGGATAGATAGATTCATTGAATTAAAAGACTCGATAGATAGATAGATTCATTGAATTAAAAGACTCGACAGATAGATTCATTGAATTAAAAGACTCGATAGATAGATAGATAGATTCATTGAATTAAAAGATAGATAGATAGATAGATTCATTGAATTAAAAGACTCGATAGATAGATAGATTCATTGAATTAAAAGACTCGATAGATATAGATAGATTCATTGAATTAAAAGACTCGATAGATAGATAGATAGATTGAATTAAATAGATAAAGATAGATAGATAGAAATTGAATTAAAAGACCTCGATAGATAGATAGATTCATTGAATTAAAAGATTCGGATTAAAAGATAGATAGATTCATTGAATTAAACCTGAAAGAGATTCGGATTGAATAAAGATAGATTCATTGAATTAAAAGATTCGATAGATATAGATGGATTCATTGAAATTAAAAGACCTGATAGATAGATTCATTGAATTAAAAGACTCGGATAGATAGATAGATTCATTGAATTAAAAGATTCGGATAGATAGATAGATCATTGAATTAAAAGACTCGAATAGATAGATAGATAGATTCATTGAATTAAAAGACTCGGATAGATAGATAGATTCATTGAATTAAAATAGATTCATTGATAAAAGATAGATAGATTGAATAGAAAGATTGGATAGATAGATAGATATTGAAATTAAAAGATTCTGAGATAGATAGATTCATTGAATTAAAAGATTGATAGATAGATAGATTCATTGAATTAAAAGACTCGGATAGATAATAGATTCATTGAATTAAAAGATAGATAGATAGATAGATTCATTGAATTAAAAGACTCGGATAGATAGATAGATTGAATTAAAAATTCGGATTAGATAGATTGATAGAATGACTGATAGATAGATAGATTGATTAAAGATAATAGATTCATTGAATTAAAAGACTGAGATAGATAGATTCATTGAATTAAAAGACTCGATAGATAGATAGATTTCATTGAATTAAAAGATTCGGATAGATAGATTCATTGATTAAAAGATTCGATAGATAGATAGATTCATAGAATTAGATAGATAGATAGATAGATTCATTGAATTAAAAGACTCCGATAGATAGATAGATTCATTGAATTAAAAGACTCCGATAGATAGATAGATTCATTGAATTAAAGACTGGGATAGATAGATAGATTCATTGAAATTAAAAGACCTGATAGATGAGATAGATAGATTAAAAGATAGGATAGAATTCATAGAAAGATGAATAGATAGATTCATTGAATTAAAAGACTGATAGATAGATAGATAGATTGATTAAAAGAATGAAAAAGATAGATAGATAGATTGAATTAAAAGACCCGACTAGATAGATAGATAGATAGATAGATAGATTGAAATTAAAAAGACCTGAAGATAGAAGAGATAGATGGGATAGATAGATAGATTCATTGAATTAAAAGATAGATGATAGATAGATAGATTCATTGAAATTAAAAGACTCGATAGATAGATAGATTCATTGAATTAAAAGATAGATGGAGATAGATTCATTGAATTAAAAGATAGATAGATAGATAGATTCATTGAATTAAAAGATCGATAGATATAGATAGATTCATTGAATTAAAAAAGACTCGGATAGATAGATAGATAGATAGAATAATAGATAGATAGATAGATAGATTCATTGAATTAAAAGACTCGAGATAGATAGATAGATAAATTGATTAAAAGATAGAAAGATAGATAGATAGATAGAATGAAAAGACCGAGATAGATAGATTCATTGGATTAAAGAGATAAAGATAGATAGATACATAGATAGATAGATTAAAAAAGACTCGAGATAGATAGATAGATGGATAGATTGATGGATAGATTCGGATTAAAAATAGAAGAGATTGAATTAAATAGGATAGATAGATAGATTGAATTAAAAGACTGGATAGATAGATAGATTGAATTAGATAGATGAGATATTGAATTAGATCTGAAAAGATAGATAGATAGATTCTGAGATAGATAGATAGAATAGATAGATAGATTCATTGAAAGAAAGAATAGATAGATAGATAGATAGATAGATTCATTGAATTAAAAAGACATTGAATTAAAAAAGATAGATAGATAGATAGATTCATTGAATTAAATGATAGATAGATAGATAGATTCATTGATTAAAAGACCTGATAGATAGATAGATAGATAGATTAAAAGACTGATAGATAGGATTCATTGAATTAAAAGATGATAGAAGATAGATAGATTCATTGATGGATAGATAGATGATTGAATTAAGATAGATAGATAGATAGATTCAGATTAAAGACTCCGATAGATAGATAAATGGATTCATTGAATTAAAAGATGAGATAGATAGATAGATTCATTTGAATTAAAAGACTGATAGATAGATGGATAGATAGAATTAAAAGACCCGATAGATAGATAGATAGATTCATTGAATTAAAAGACTCCCGGATAGATAGATAGATAGATAGATAGATAGATGGATTCATTCAATTAATGGATAGATAGATAGATAGATTAAAAGAGATAGATAGATAGATAGATAGATAGATAAATGAATTTAAAAAGATGGAGATAGATAGATAAAAGATAGATAGATTCATTGAAATTAAAAGACTGAATAGATAGATAGATTCATTGAATTAAAAGATAGATAGATAGATAGATTCATTGAATTAAAAGACTCAGATGATAGATAGATAGATAGATAGATTCATTGAATTAAAAGACTGATAGATAGATAGATGAGAATAGATGAAAGATAGATAGATGAATAAAAGATGAATGAAAGATGAAGAGATCGAAAGATAGATAGATTCATTGAATTAATTAAAAGATAGATTGATAGAATGAAGAGATAGATAGATACATTGAATTAAAAGATGAAATAGATAGATTCATTGAATTATAATGACTCGATAGATAGATAGATCTATTGAATTAAATACCTGATAGATAGATAGATTCAGAATTAAAAGACCTGGATAGATAGAATGAAATGACTGATAGATAGATAGATAGGAATAAAAGAGATAGATAGATAGATAGATAGATAAATTAAAAAGATAGAGAGAAGATTGGGAATAAAGAAATAGATAGATAGAATGAAGAGACTGAGATAGATTGATAATAGATGAATAGAAGATAGATAGATAGATACATAGATAGATGATAGATTCATTGAATTAAAAGACTGGATAGATAGAATTAAAAGATAGATAGATAGATAGAATGAATAGAATTAAAAGACCTGATAGATAGATAGATAGATAGATAAATAGATATTCAGATAGATAGATAGATAGATAGATTCATTGAATTAAAAGATAGATAGATAGATAGATCGATTGAATTAAAAGACTGATATAGATAGATAGATTCATTGAATTAAAAAGACTGATAGATAGATAGATAGATAGAATGGATAGATAGATAGATAGATAGATTCATTGAATTAAAAGACTCGGATAGATAGATAGATAGATTCATTGAATTGAATAGATAGATAGATAGATTAAAAGATTAATGAATAGAAGAGAATTAGATGATAGATAGATAGATGAATAGATGAATTAAAAGATAGATAGATAGATGAGATAGATGATATTCATAATTAGAAGATAGATAGATAGATATAGATAGATTCATTAATTAAAAGACTGAGATGGATAGATAGATAGATTCATTGGAATTAAAAGACTCGACTGATAGATAGATAGATTCATGGAATGAAAGATAGATAGATAGATAGATAGATTCATAGATAAATACTCGATAGATAGATAGATTATTGAATTAAAAGACCTGATAGATAGATAGGATTCATTGAATAGATGTGATAGATGAGAATTAAAAGACAGATAGATAGATAGATAGATTCAGAGAAATAGATTCATTAGATAGATAGATAGATTCATTGAATTATAGATAGATAGATAGATAGAATTAAAAGACTAGATAGATAGATAGATTCATTGAATTGATCCGAAAAGATAGATAGATAGATAGATAAAGATAGATAGATTCATGAATTAAAAGACTGATAGATAGATAGATAGAATTAAGATAGATAAATAGATTCATTGAATTAAAAGACTCCGATAGATAGATAGATTGAATAGATAAGATAGAATGGAGATAGATAGATAGAATAGATTCGATAGATAGAAGATAGATTCATTGAATTAAAAGACTCCGATAGATAGATTCATGGATAGATAGATAATTTAGAATGAAAGACTCGATAGATAGATAGATAGATTCATTAGATTAAATTAAATAGATAGATAGATAGATATAGAATCAGATAGATAGAATTAAAAGACTGGATAGATAGATAGATGGAGATAAAAGATAGATGATAGATTCATTGATGAATGGATAGAAGATAGATTCATGAATTAAATATATATATAGAATAGATTCATTGAATAAAGATAGATAGATAGATAGATAGATTCATTGAATTAAAAGAGATAGATAGATAGATAGATAGATATAGATAGATAGATAGATAATAGAATTAGAATTGAGACTGGGATAGATAGATAGATAGATAGATAGATTAATAAGATTCATTGAATAAGTAGATAGATAGATAGATAGATAGAATGAATAGATAGATGAGATCATTGATAGAAAGAAGAGACTGATAGATAGATTGAATTAAATACTGGGATAGATAGATAGATAGATATTGATTAAAGAGACTGGGATAGATAGATAGATAGATCTGATAGATAGATAGATAGATAGATAGATAGATAGATAGATAAAATGAAATTATGAAGAGACTGATAGATAGATAGATAGATTAAAAGAAATAGATAGATAGATAGATAGATAAATGGATTTAAATAGATTGATAGATAGATAGATAGATGAGATAGATACAAAAAAGACTGATATATAGATAGATAGATTCATTGAATTAAAAGACTAGATAGATAGATAGATAGATGGGACCCAGATAGGAATGAAAAGACTGATAGATAGATAGATAGATAGAAATTAAAAGACATCGATAGATAGATAGATGGATAGATTGAATAAATAGATAGATATAGATTGGATTCATTGGGAAATAGATGGATAGATAGATAGATAGATAGATAAAATATAGATAGAATAGATAGATAGATAGATATAGATAGATTGAATTAAAAGGACTCGAAAGATTCATAGAGAGATAGATAGATGGATTCAATTATGGATAAGATAGATGAATTAAAGAGATAGAGAGATAGAATGATTCGGATAGATGATAGATAGATGAAGATGAGATAGATTCATTTGTATGAATAGATAGATCGTTGATAGATAGATAGATGGATAGATAGAAGAGAATGGGAGACTGAGATTGATGAATAGATAGATGAATGGACAGATAGATAGATAGATTAAAGATCGATAGATAGAAGAGATGGATAGATGAATAGATAGAAATCAAGAGACTGGACAGATAGATAGATAAAGATTGATGAGATTAAAGATGATAGATAGATAGATACAGATAGATAAAAGAAATGGATAAATGGATAGATAGATAAATAGATTCAAATCAAAAGATCTAGATAGATAGATAGATAGATTAAAGATGAAGATAGAAGATAGATAGATGATAAAATAGATAGATAGATATTTGAATTAAAGAATCCGGACAGATTAGATAGATTCATGAATAAAAAGACTAGATGATAGATAGATGAAATTAAATAGATAGATAAATAGATGAATAGATAGATAGATTGATATTAATTAAAAGATCCGATAGATAGATAGATAAAAGATCCGATGGAATAGATGATACAGATAGACAGATTCATTAGATAGATAATCCGATGACATTGATGATAAGAGATTTGAGATAGATAGATACAGATAGATTAAAGATTATAATTGAATAAAAGAGATAGATAGATAGATAGATAGATTCATTGAATTAAAAGATACAGATAGATAGATAGATAGAATGAATAAAAGATAGATAGATAGATAGATAGATTGAATTAAAAGAATCTAGATAGATAGATAGATTCATTGAATTAAAAGAGATAAATAGATAGATAGATTAAAAGATAGATAGATAGATAGATAGAATTAAAAGACTAGATAGATGAGATAGATAGATAAAAGATGAATGGATGATGAGAATCAGAAAGATAGATAGATAGATAGATTTTAATGAAGATTAATGGATAGATAGATAGATTAAAAAGATCTGAGATAGATAGATGAATAAAATAGAATAGATAGATAGAAGACTGGATAGATAGATTATAGATAAATGGATGGATGGATAGATAGATATATGGATAGATAGATAGATAGATAGATAGATAGGATAGATAGATTATATTAAAAGACAGATAGATATAGATGGATGGATAGATAGATAGATAGATAGAAGATAGATAAATAAAGATAGATGGATAGATAGATAGATAGATAGATTCATTGATGGATGAATGAATGACAGATGGATGATAGATAGATAGATAGATCTAGAATTAAAAGACAATAGAATGATTCATAGATAGAAATAAAATGGGAGATTTAATAGATATATAGATTGAATTAGATAGATAAATAGATAAGATTTGAAATAGATAGATAGATAGATAGATGACTCCGATGATAGATAGATTGAATTAAAAGATGAATAGATAGATAGATAGATTCATTACACAGACAGATAGATAGATGATAATATAAAAGACATAGATAGATATAGATATAGATAGATAGATAGATGAAAAGATATACTAGATTGATAGATGAGACATTATAAATAGATAGATAGATAGATAGATAGATACTGAATTAAATGACTGAGATTGATAGATAGATAGAATAGATCATGATTAATGAATGGGTAGATAAGATATGATTAGATAGATAGATTCATTGAATAAAGAACTGGGATACATAGATAGATAGATTGATGCTGATAAATATTGTTTAATAAATAGATAGATAGATAGATAGATAGATGAATTAAAAGACATAGATGAATAGATAGATAAAACATGATAGATAGGATTGATTTTATTAAAAGACACATAGATAGATAGATAGATAGATGAATGGGTCTGAAAGGAAGATAGATAGATAGATAGAATAGAAAGATTGATAGATAGATAGATAGATTTATTACAAACATGCATAGATAGATAGATAGATAGATAAATAGATGAAAAGAATGATTTTAATAGATAGACAGAAAAATAGATAGATAGATTCATTGAATTAAAGACACGGATAGATAGATAGATAGATATATATATATATAGATATATAATGAATTAAATAGATATATAGATAGATAGATTCATTGAATTAAAACACACCGATAGATAGATAGATAGATAGATAAATAGATGAATAGAAACATAGATTCATAGATAAAGATTCCATAGATGTTAGATAGATGAATTCATTTAGGATAAAAAGACAGATAGATATAGATAGATAGATAAAGATAGAATTATGATTCATTGATTAGATAGATAGATAGATAGATAGAAGATACATCCTTGTTTAAAAGATAGATAGATAGATAGATAGATAGATAGATTCATTGATAGAAAGATAGATAGATGAATTTATTCCGAAATTGTAAAAAAGATATATAGATAGATAGATTCATTTTTGAAAAGAAATTTGTAGATTCGACACGGATTAAAGACATAGATAGATAGATAGATAGATAGATAGATAGATAGATAGATAGATGGATTCATTGAATTAAAAGACACGGATAGATAGATAGATAGATAGATTGATTAAATGGAATAGATACAGAGATAGATAGATTTGATAGATAGATAGATAGATAGATAGATAGATAGATAGATAGATAGATAGATAGATAGATAGATAGATTTATTGATTTTAAATAGATAGATAGATAGATTCATAGAGAAAGATAGATAGATAGATAGATAGATAGATAGATAGATTCAGAATGATAGATAGGGATGAATGAGATAGATAGATAGATAGATAGATAGATAGATAGATATTGTAATAGATAAATAAATAGATAGATAGATAATGAATGGTCATTTTATAGATATCAAGAGATAGATAGATAGATTGAATTAAAAGACGGATTTTAGATAGATAGATAGATAGATAGATAGATAGATTCATTTTGTTAAATAGACTGAGATAGATAGATAGATGATAGATAGAAATCCGAGATTGTGAAAAATGATAGATAGATAGATAGATAGATAGATAGATTGATTAAAAAGATAGATAGATAGATTAGATAGATAGATAAAGATAGATAGATTCATTGATTAAAAGACTCGATAGATAGATAGATTAAATAGAGACGAAATAGATCCGATAGATGAATAGATGGATTCATTGAATTAAAAGACTGAGATAGATAGATTAAGAGATAGATAGATAGATAGATGGAAAGATAGATAGATATTTAGATAGATCGATAGATAGATAGATAGATTAGATAGATAGATAGATAGATAGATAGAATATTTATAGATAGATAGATAGATTCATTGTTATTAAAAGACATAGATAGATAGATAGATAGATAGATAGATAGATAGATAGATAGATAGAATTAAAAATCAGATAGAAAGATTCATTGGAATAGATAGATAGATAGATAAAGATTAAAGACTGAGATAGATAGATAGATAGATAGATAGATAGATAGATAGATAGATAGATTGATATAGATGAATAGAATAAAAGAGATAGATAGATAGATTCATTTTATAAAAAGATAGATAGATAGATAGATAGATAGATAGATAGATAGATTCAATTAAAGAAGATAGATAGATAGATTCATAATAAAAGACACGGATAGATAGATAGATTGATAGATAAAGATAGATAGATAGATAATTCATTGAATTAAAGACTTAAGATAGATAGATTCATTGATTGAATAGATAGAAGAAAATGGAAAGATATATAGATAGATAGATAGATTCATTGAAAGACTCCGAAAGAGATAGATAGATTAATAGATAGATAGATAGATTAATTAAATGAATAGATAGATAGATAGATAGATAGATTCATTTCCTTTCATAAAACTGTCTAGATAGATAGATAGATATTAATTGAATGGGCGTTAAAAGATAGATAGATAGATGAGAATAGATAATGATAGATAGATAGATTCATTGATGAAAAAATAGATATAGATAGATAGATAGATTCAATTGAATATTAAGAAATTGAGATAGATAGATAGATAGATAGGATAGATAGATAGATTTTATTAAAAGAACTTAGTAGATAGATAGATAGATAGATAGATAGATAGATAATAGATTCATTGAATTAAAAGATAGGATAGATTGATAGATAGATAGATAAATAGATAGATAGATAGATTGAAAAAGATTTAATAGATAGATAGATAGATGAAAAGATAGATAGATAGATAGATAGATTCATTTTATTAAAAGACCGATAGATAGATAGATAGATTGATAGATAGATAGATAGATAGATTCATTGAATTAGATAGATGACGGATAGATAGATAGATAGATGAGATGATATTAAAAGAAGAAGACTGAGATAGATAGATAGATAGATAGATAGATTAAAAGATGAGATAGATAGATAGATAGATTGAAGATAGAATCATGGGACTGATGAGATAGATAGATAGATAGATAGATAGATAGATAGATAAAAGATAGATAGATAGATAGATAGAAATTAAAGATAGATAGATAGATAGATAATAAAGATACGATAGATAGATAGATAGATAGATAGAAAGAAAAGATAGATAGATAGATAGATAGATTTATTGAATTAAAAGACAGATAGATAGATAGATAGATAGATAGATAGATAGAATGATATGGGATAGATAGATTCAATGAATAAAAGACCAGATAGATAGATAGATTCATTGATATTAGATAAGAGATAGATAGAATAGATAGATAGATAGATAGATAGATAGATAGATAGATAGATATTAAAAGACCTAGATAGATAGATAGATAGATTTTATGACAGATACATAGATAGATAGATTCATAGATAAAAGATAGACAGATAGAGTGATGGATATCTAGATAGATAGATAGACAGATAGATTAGATAGATATTGAATTAATAGATAGATAGATAGATAGATAGATAGATTGATAAAAAAACCTGATGAATAGATAGATAGATAGATTCATTGAATTAAATAGATAGATAGATAGATAGATAGATTGATTCATAGATGATAGATAGATAGATGACGATAGATAGATAGATAGATAGATTCATTGAATTAAAAGATCTCGATAGATAGATAGATAGATAGATAGATTAGATTCATTGATACTAAAGATAATAGATAGATAGATTAGATAGATTATTGAATTAATTCATAGATAGATAGATAGATAGATTCATTGATATTAAATTGATAGATGATAGATAGATTCATTGAATTAAAAGACACGTGATAGATAGATAGATAGATAGATTGATAGATCTTTAGATAGATAGATAGATATTCTGGAAAAAGACTGAGATAGATAGATAGATGAATTGAATTCAAAAGATGAATAGATAGATAGATAGATTCATTGAATTAAAAGAAATAGTTAGATAGATAGATAGATTCATTATTTAAAAGATCTCCAATATATGAATGGATAGATTTAGATTCATTGAATTAATTTCTCCTAAAAGATAGATAGATTGATAGATGGATAGATAGATAGAAAGATAGATTAGATTGATTGTATTGAAACCAGATAGATAGATTCCTATTTTGATAGATAGACATTGAATTAAAAAGACTCGATAGATAGATAGATAGATAGATGAATATTTTCATTAAAAGACCGTGGATAGATAGATAGATGGCTATTGAATTAAAAGACAGGTAGATAGATAGATAGATTGATGAATTTTAGATAGATAGATAGATAGATTCATTGTTGTAAATTAATTTTCGGATAGATAGATTCATTAGAATTTGACTGGATAGATAGATAGATTCATGCCTTATTTAAAAGACTCCGATAGATAGATTCATTAGTTTGTTAAAAAGAAGATAGATAGATAGATAGATAGATAAATTACAGAAAGATAGATAGATAGATTCCTTTATTACCATTATAGATAGATAGATAGATAGATAGATGATTGATAGATGGATATATTGAATTAAAAGACATAGATAGATAGATATATAGATAGAATTACATTTACCGGATAGATAGATTAAATAGAAGAAGATGAATAGAGATGATATGAGATAGATTCAAGAATTAAAAGACAAAGATGAAAGATAGATAGATAGACATGATAGATAGAATATCTGAATAGATACATGGATAGATAAACGACTCATAGATAGATAGATTCTAGATGAAGAGACACGGATAGATAGATAATAGATAGATTCATCCAGAACATTAAAAGAAACGGATAGATAGATAGATAGATGAAAATTAAAAGATACATAGATAGATAGATAATAGATAGGAAGATAGATAGATATTCATATATATATAGAGAGATAGAGAGAAAGATAGCTTGAGAGAAAAAAAATACACGGATAGGCAGATAGATTCTAAGATAGACAATTAAAAGACAAATAATAGATAGATAGATTCAAGAACTAAAGATACCTGAAAACGATAGATAGACCGATAGATAGATGAAAAATTAAATAGATATAAAGATATAGATAGATGGAATACAT